GCTTCACCAATTTTTGCCCTTTGCCCTCTTTAGGTATAGTCGACGTTTCACATTATTTGATTTTCACTCCATGCCACCCATTTTTGTGTTTTGCTTGTTTATCCAGTAATTGTTGCTGCTGATCCATTGTGTAGTCTGATGTTCTTTTCGCTGTCAACAGGACATTCAAAGTCTTCCTGGTATAGCCGTGCGTTATATTTCGAAGTCACTTTCTGCAATGAAAATGTGATGGTTGACGAAAACGAAAGACGACGTTGTTTTAACAGCGTTTCAACAATTTCTTTTTTATTCCTCAGTCGTGAACGTTGTCGTCTGATTTTTTTTTGCTGCTAAATATCGAATTTACATATCTTATAATTCAATAGTTGAATGAATTTTCTTCAATTAGAAAAATATTTACGTAAATTATATATTTTTTAAAAAGCTCATTTATTTTGCGTTCCATCGAAAATGTGGTACTCGGAAAGTTTTTTTGTAACGGAAATATATCTCATTCTTATTTCGTCTCCAAATTTGGCTAATTTATTCATAATTAATTAGAATGTTCTCTGATATTTGTTTTTTTTCTTTGTTTTCCGTTGTAGTCTTCTCATTTCACATGGCTTTACGGTCAGATGAAAGCACTTCATCGCTTCCTCCTTTCGATGAACACATAAGATTTTCATTGTTTTGCTCAGTCTACCAATCTGTTTCCGTTGTTTTTTTCCAAGTTAAGTGAAAAGAATTATGGCACGAACGAATCCTGTTGAATGTTGTCTGAGAAGGGGCTTCGTCGCCTGATTCTGATAATTTTTAAAGACGAACAGGTTCCGATAAACAATTGGAGACGATCTTTAGTCTTTTTGGGTTAGAATTCACCAATAAAGTAAAGAAAAAGTAAAGATAGAAAGATGAGAGGGAGAGAGAGAGAGAGAGAGAGAGAGAGAGAGAGAGAGGGGGGAGGGGAGAGTTGAGGGAAGAACAAAACAGTTGAAAGAAGAAGGCAGACGTAAGACTATTATGCCCTTCGTACTAGTCTGCTCTCATCTCTTTTCAGTCATCCAATCGTCTTAAATGATCAAGGAGGGTCGACATATTTTTTGAACTCTTTGCCTGTCTTCATTAAATGATTTGCCATGTAGGAAAGGGGAAGGGTGGGTTGTCCGATATTGTTTTTAGTAACAGCAAGGAGCCATTACAAGCATTTCACATTGAAGATGTTTTCTTGTGAAGAGAGAGGATCAATTAAAGGTTATCAATACCTTCTTCAAATCAATTTGGTCTCTCTCTTCTCAATCGTATCGAATGTTACTTGTTGTCTGCTCTCTCTAATCCAGTTATTTAGTGTTTAAAAAAATTTGAATCACTTCTATCCAACTGAAATGATTTTTGATCTCGGCAATGGCCATCTCTGTTCTTCTCTTCATCTCCCATTCTTCACGTCTCTTTTTTTGGGATTTTAGGAAGATAAATTTTCGAAATGCATTCGTTCTTACCTCTTTCGAGATTCTCATCTTCTTCTTCTTTTTCTTATTTCTCATCTTGCCCCATTCCTATTTTGGAATTCGAGTAGAGACATGACCAGTGAGAGACATGACACAATAGATGGTCACAAAGTACATTTGTACTTAGGCCATGAAGTGCTGCAATGGACTTTCTTGTCTCCCGCGTGGAACTTTGATTCTTCATCCCTTCGCCTAACAACTAATTATACGTATATTTTGTTTTTTTTTCTGTTTTCGAATATCATGATGTCCATAAACATTATTTTCCCACCATCTTCTCCGATTCTCTATCACTTCCCTTTCGACTCTTTTTTGTTCTTGCCTCTTCCCATCAGCCATTTCTGTCTCTCTCCCCTTCTAATACTGTCTCATCCCTTTACTTTCAACCAGTAGTTAGTGTTTCATAATATTATCTTAGAGCATATTGACTTAGAGTGCGAAAACGGGCAGATGAAAAACCGAAAGTCATCTTCTGATCTGAGCTTTCTTGGCTTCTCGTTTCAGCCCGCTTTCTCATTTCTCTTCCTTTTTTTCCATGCTGTCCCTCTCAACCATTAGTTGTATTTGAAATCCGAAAGCTTCACAACGAATATCGTTACGGAATAATAAGAAATACAAACCCGGATATAAGCCGTCCTAGAATGTATTAATCGTTGATCAGTTTGAAGAAAATATATATGCGGGCCATTTAACCTCTTCATTTCGTCATGTCAAATGAACATATATAGAATCATATTATCATACTACATGTGCTACATGTAGTTCTAAATCTTTCTCGTTTCGTATAATCGTCAAAATTGCATCTTCAATGATTTTCAAAAGTTTGCTTTCGATGAATTCTTGTTGCCGAACCCTGGATATCGTTTGTTACTCTCTCTTCTCTTAGATATCTATCTATTTCGATAACCTGATATCGCAAAGTTAACTTATGTCTTCTGCGTTATTCTCTCTCATCTCTGAATATTCTATATAATGGCGGAATCTGTCTGGGTTTTGTAGACTGTTGGCGAGTAGAATAGCCACTGATCAGATTGGAAAGAAGAAAATATGCGAATGTGACGTGTGCAATTTTCTTTTCTTCTTAAACATCTTCGTTCACTCTGTTGATTATTCCTTGTTTGCAACTTGACCAGTCTAGACAATATCGAGAGACATCTGCTGCGTGTGGCTATTGGTCAGACGCAGTTGAGATGACGACCTGCAAAGGTCAATTTATCGCCATCCCTCATTTGTACTCTCTGAATAGCCTTTGCTCTCCCCTACCCTCGTTTCTCTACTTCTCTATCGCTTTCTTATTTCCTCTTATTCTTTGATATTCCTATCTTAATAATTCTATGTTGTCTGGTTCAAGATATGTCTAGGTCTGGCCATAGTTTTACAAGCTTCTATTCTTCAATCGAATCGCGAGATCAGATAAAAAGTGATCTTATTAATCTGCATTCGAGGAGTACTATGGGGTCTCCTAGTCTAATCATCAATATCATATGCAGTGTCGTCTTATTGTTGTCTCCCCCATCTTCATCTCCTTTTTTTCTTTATCAAAAATATGGTTTGAAGTATAATTAATTTGCATAAAATTGGAATGAGTTAAGATACAACAACTGTCTTTTTGTTTTCAAGACTCACTTCATTTCTCTAATTAGTACTGAAAATAATTACGTATATATGTAAAAAAAAAAACTAAAGAAGAAGATGATTTACCGGTGTGATAAGTGCAGCTCTGTTCAGTGTCTGTGATCGATAATTTTTTATCTAAAATTCATTAGCATAAGCATTGTGCAGAGCACGCGTGCACATTTCGGCGCCATTTCTATCGACTCATGCGCTGTGAACGGTTGTGCTCGTCTATCTATTATACATTAAACATCTTTTCATTTGATTTCTTCTAATGAATAGTCTGCATTCCTACTTATTTTTCGTTTTCTCATTTTTGTATGTATATATATATATATATACTATATATTATATATATACTCGTATCACTCTACGGGACCTGCCAATGAGAGCAAGGGGGCGGGTCGACCATATGATTTTCCTGTACTTATCCATTCCGTATTCTTATTAGCCTTCAATGATTTGTAGTGACAGTTTAATGATGTCATTTGCTGCTGATAATTATATGAATAAGCATAGTTAGTTGTATTATATAGTCGTTGATCCTTATGAATGTGGATGAGCTCAAACTTTTTTCAAAATCATATTTGTGGTAATTGTAGAAACCAAATTTCGCAATGCTCTACCGAGGAGGTCAACGTTGACGATAATGACGCAGAGTTTGCGGAAGATAACCTGACAAAAATCATGAAGTTAACGAGAAAAATGAAATAAGAACACAGACAGAGATATAGAAGCGATTTCTCTTGTGATCGTTCTCTTCAGCACAGTGGAACAATGACTAGACTACGATCTTTGACTAGGTTCAACTCATATCATCATTTTCTATTCTCGGCCTCTTAACTGATTTATTTGAACTTTATCTCTTGCTCCCTAACTTCTCTCTCCTCTCTTTCTCTCTCTCTCTCTCTCTGTTTTACTGTTCGTATACCTCATAGTTTTTTTGTTCTACGTACAACTGTTGTACATACCATGTTTCATCTAGAAAATTATGTTTTAACCCTTCTAATTCTCCGTACTCCTCCTCTCTCCTCCTGTTTTATACCATTTTCAGTCTTACAATTGACCATCTCGCCCCTGGTTGGTCTTTGGGTTTCACAATTCGTTTGTCCCTGTCTACATTGCTTTTTTTCTAATTGCCAACTTTATACTTTGTGTTGGTTTCTGCTTCTTATTTAGTTTCCGTTTTACTAGCTATTAAAGAGAGAATCTGTCCCTCTTTTTATCTTACCCTCTCTCTCTCTTACTCTTTCTGCGTTTCTCTGTCATCCACTCCCACTTAACTTTATGTGTCATCAAGTTTTCTGATCAATCTAAACATTTGCCATCAGCGTATTTTTTTCCTTCGCCTAGACATGGACCGTTTGTTTCCTTTTTTGTTTTTTTTGTGCTTTTTCTCACCTACGCCTATGTTTTTGATTGCTCGCATTCTCTTGTTTTTTATCGCCTCAGGGTTTTATTCTGTGGACATTGGATCATTTTAATCTTTGATCATTTATAGAAAGGCTCTTTTCGTCTTTGCTCGTCCTCATAAGGCCCAAGACGAACTGACAAGTACACAGACGACGAGAGATTCACGATCTTGAAGGCTTTCTTCTTCTCAACAACGTCATCTCTACCTCCTTTCATCAGTTATTCTGGAGAGGAACAACTTTCTTTTTCACGCAAATCTGTCTGTAGAAAGCGTTACGACGATTTTTTGAAGTTTTGTGTCTGTGATCACATAACGCTTAGATCGCCATAACGGCTTTTTCAAAAGATCTGTTACCGTGCTTTTCTCTTTTTTTCTTTTCGGTTAGTTCATCTTTTCACTCCAATTCTAATGTAATTTTTAGATTACGCTTCTTGTCTCAATCCTCTAGAACTTGCTCAGCTTTAATCTCAAGCTGTCAAGTCTAAAAATTGCAATCACATAATCAATCTGCTGATTTGAAAACGGTTGCTCCAACGTCTACAATTCTGTCTCCAATCTCAGACGCCGCTGAGTCGTCGGTTTCATCGACTTCATCGGCTTCACCATCTTCACCGCCGTCTTCGCCATCTTTCGACCGTCGTGTAGTGCCGCAAGCTAAAGACGTCGCGTCACCTCTTAACTCGTTGTTTTTATCAAGCCAACTTTGTGATTTCCGAAATTATTCATTCGCTAGCACAACGGCACCTCACATTTTATCTTCGCCTCAACATCTCACAGCGGCTAGGCAGCTCTCCATGAACAATCAACCGCCTATCTTGAACGCCGCGTTAAATATGGATCAGCTTAATCCAGTGGCTGTTGCTGCAGTTGCTGGTTCCGGAAGTTCTCCGTGGCCGTCGAACATCTCATTTTTTGTCAACCCAACCAGCCTAGCTAGTAATCCTCAATCCAGTAGTGGTCAAATATCAGAAGAAGCCGGTAGCTCACACAGTAACGGAACAACAGAAAGCGACAAGTGGTGAGTCAATTTTCCAAAGTTCTTGTTTGCATATTCCCTTACATTCTGTATATTCTTTCCCTACTTCATTTGGACTTTTTGCAATAACTACAAAGGGGTTGTAGAGAAGTAACATAGTTTCATTTGATGTTTCCTTGTTTATGTTTGGTACAGAGTGACTTGTATGGAAGAGCATTGGCCTAATTTCCAGCTTGATCGAGAGTATAATGTTTTAAGCAATCTTTAGTCGCTGTTTCCTTTTGAACCTTTCTTTGCCTTTTCATGTTCAATGGAACATAAGTAGTCTTTTTTTCTGCTTTGTTTGCAAAATTCCAGTGGCTTTAAAAGATTCTTAGTCCTATTGAGTCATCTAAGATCACTATCAGACTTTGTGAGTCTTTTCAATGGCTGAAATGAACTACAACTCATAAACTTGAATGATTCAATGTTTGTATTGAATGGTCTCAAACATGACGTTATTAAATCAACGTTAATCTATTTCTTTGTTTATCTTCTCTTCCCAATGATAACATAGTCTCTTTTATAAGTTATGCGTTAATAACTATGCTCTTAGCTTCTATTTTGCATCTTTCGAATCACAAATCGTTGAAATTGCACTAATCGAAATTTGATGAACAATTTGAATGATAGAACACAAGGGTCTCGAATGTTAAATGAAGTAAAATGATCTTACTGATTTCGTTTGTGGGTTAGGTTTCACGTGGATTACGTGTGAAAGTCACGTGTGGCTATCTTTGCTCTTCATTTTTCGGATATGATCGCGTGTTTACGGTTGTTAAAATGGTCGAGAGGACAAAAGATGACAGAAACTGTTTTTTGAACTTTCGCTGTGCCTTTCCTTCCTGTTTCATCTTTGTGCGGTTGAGCGTTGATATTATAGTCAGTTTCTCTTTCTCTCCCTCTATCTCTCAGACAAGCACGCTCTTTATATCTTTTTTTTGTATTGACAATTATTTTGATTTTGATTCGTATAGTTGATCTCAAAGTTCATTTGAGATCAAAACACAAAAGTTGATAAGCTCTCAACTCACCAAAAAAGTTTTGAATGTCATCAATGAGCTGTAAAAGGTTGTCAATTTCGGAAGAGATAACCGAGGGCAAAGAGTACTGTATATATTGACTTCCCGTTTTTGGTCATTGATACCATAAACAGCAGCACATATTAACACAAAATCATCCAACATTTGCTGACTGGAAGTTGGTGGGATGAATTTTAGGCACACATCTTTATCATTCAAAAATTCTTTTAATTTTTAAGCTTATCACTTTTTGTATTGGTTTTTATTCGTGCCTTTCCAGTGCCCGGCCATGGGCATGGTTTCTATTTTTGTATGCAGAAACATGAAAGTGATCAGGAAGATTTGAACTATCAAACGTCATACACGAAGTTTATTGGCTGACAGTTTCCATTTTTCTCCTATTGTATCTGCAAAACTGCCTTTTTTGGTTGAAAGGGAGAGAAAATCCAAATGAGATGCTCGTTGATGTTTGCTGTTTGATTTAGCCTCATTTTCTCTTGAAAATCTATAACCAAAGTTACAACTAACTGGTAGTTGTGTAGATTCATCGATAACTGAAATAAAGAGAAAAGAGACCTAATATGGCCATGGAAGAACGATGATAGAAATGGTTCTGTTGACCAAAGATCTTTGAATGTTCATCTGCAACCATCTGTATAAGGAGATATGCAAAAAGAGAAAAATAATGAAGAACAACACATGATCGGTTATGTTTTCTCTCCCAATTCTGTCGATTCTCTCTCTCTCTCTCTCTCTCTCTCTCTCTCTCTCTCTCAGTCGAAGAGTTGATTTTACTTTTTTCTACTGGACATCATCACCTCAAGCGATTATAGTCATATGCCTTTTTTCTCTAACATATTCGCGTTTCTAAAAAGGGAGTAAGAATCAGGCAAAAGAGAGGACTAGGGAATGCTTTTACATCATTTTTTTTCTTAATTATCTTGATTTGACTTTTAATGTGTGGGAGGTTGTATAAGCAGATTGGTCTAAGAATAGAAGAGGTACACATTGCAAATCAGGAAATTCGAGATTTTCTCTGACAACTTTCCTGAGATGCTATTTGAACATGAAGGATGTGAAAGCCGCAAAGGGATCGAATTGATCAATCAGACTTAAGTTACGGATGTGACGAAATTGGTTCTTCTTCTTCTTTTTTGGGGCTGCAATGTAGCCGCCAATGTGTTCTTCGTATTTTTGACGTCATTTTCTTATGAAAGATCAACGAAAAAGTTGTTAAGAAGACTCATTAAAGTTGTCATTTTCTCTGATTTGGACAACACATTTCATTTCAAACAGATTTGAAAAGAATGACGAATAAGAGATATTCTCATGCAATTCTTCAGATGCTCGATTAGTCGTGTACGTGACAAGATTGGAAAGGACAAAATCATCTGAATCTTACGACCATAGTTTTTGGTCTTATGAACACATGTTTTTTGGTCCTTTTTGTTGTGTTCTTTGTGCTTTGCCTACGAACCAGAATCAAATAAGAGACAATCTTGAGAGGGGGAATCTTGTAAGAAACGAAGGAAGATGAAGGAGATGAATACAAGGAAATGTGGAAAGAGAGGATTATGTGCTTAATGCGCATTCTTTGAACTTTCATCTTCAGGCTCATATCTTCCCGTTCACTCAACTTTTTTTTTCCGGATCATATGATGAATAGAAAAGGTCATACCATCTCATATGAATCACCTCGATCTCTATATATTTGCGGAGACTGTTCGATACTATCAGAACGTGTGATGCTTTCTCTCTATTTGAACAAGATCATATATACGTCTTATATTCGAAAATATGAAAGAACATAACTGAGTGGTGTTTTGAACTTCGTAAATTGCTTTCGAACATAGATCTGAAGATTTGGTAATAAAATCATATGAACAGACAAGGGACAGGATCATAAGGTCCACATGGGATTGAATTGAAGACTTGATCGAAGACCACCTTCAATTGATGTCACGAAAGTTTCGTGTTGTTTTGAAATAATAAAACGTTCATCACTTTAATGGGCTTTTTCTCTCTCTTTCTCTTTTACTCTTGGATGGCATGAATATTTTAGATATTTGCATATAGCTCACGTCATGCGGATTTTCGTCTTTCGATCTCCTAGTCTGCATCCGATTGATGTGATAGGACATCGTCAAAATGCGATGAGGAAATTGAGAAAAGAAGTTTTTCATTTTTAAGAAATGCCACAAGAAAAAAACGGAAATATCTTTCGGATTTTTCAATTTCAAAGATGTTGAGTAGTTTTTTTGCCTCATTTACAAAGTTGTTGAGAGGGGTAGATTTGTATCGCTCGCGCGGTTCGCAGACAGATTATCCTCTCTGCTCTCCACCTTCTTGCCAGCCTCTTGTTGTTGAGAAAGTAGTATGATACGGCGCAGGAGATGTGTCTATTTTCGGTATCATAGAGATCAGAAAACGGAATCATATGTTTCCTTGCGTCGCGATGATAAAGTGAAATGATAAAACTTCGTTAACTTTTGTGCTTCAGATTGATATTTGATCTTGAACATTTCTCCTTAAACGTGTTCGACCATGCATAAGCTGCTGGTGGACACTTCCTTTTTTCTTCGAAACACAAAACGTTCAGAAAACATGAGATGAAAAGATGATATTCTTTCAACTAGTTTTCTTAAAGAGGAAAAAGAAGACATGAGGAAATATTAGCTGGCGTTCTCTTTTGTGACTGCTTCTGTAGTTTGTGTCTTCGCTGATCTCTGTGAACGATGGTTTGTCAATACAAAAACATGGTGGTCAATATTCTAGATATTGAAAAGGAAAGACCTGCTAGAGAAACGTAGAGATGTTTTGCTTAGGCGTAGGGGTGGGGAGAATCTGATATCAATTAACGGTTGATCGCCTAAGTTTGCCCCTACACTGATAAGGCTGTAATTTGTCGTCGTTTTCGGACAATTCCTTCACCCAAACCAATTACTCTCTCTCTCTCTCTTTTTCTCTCGAGCACGAAAAAGGCAGAATGTGTGTTATCTTTATGTCTTTGTTTCTTTGGATTTTGGTCTGATGCAAAAACGCCGCCAACAAGAAAATCACATCAAATGATGCAAAGCGGAAAAAGCATCAACGACAATATAACTATAAAAGGTTTGGAACTATGGTCTCTGATTTCAGATTAGAAGTTTCAAATTTTTAATTAGATGATATAAAAGTACAAGGTGATACTCAAAAGTGATTCTAGGGGTACGATGTAGGATAACAGTCAGCGAAACTGAGAAAAGAGGTTATCCATACAAGGATAACTAGTTTATATTCATCCCTTGTAGTCGTTTCCATAAAGAAAAGAAAGATATCAACTTTGAAAACTTTTCCGGGTTAAGATAGGAACGGAATGCATCTTTGATCGCTTATTATACAGACTAGTAAAACATCGCTGATCAACAATGCAAACAGTGGACACCTTCATGTTTTTCGACCATTCAAGGCAATAAATCATTTGAAAGACTTGGATGAAGATAAACTCTTTCTGTTCATTAACTGATTTATTTATATAATTTGTAATGTCGTGAATGGGAGTATGTAGCGACTGCCGTCAACGAATGTTATGATGTCATCGGAAGTGTATTCGGAAACACTTCTTCTTTTCTTTTTTTTGTTTAAAATATATTTTTGGATCAAGAACACAAAGTAATGACAAGTACTCGAGAAGTTTCGAGCATTCTCCACAAATTTTCGATCAAGTTGTTTAATCTTCAATGTTGAACTGATTGATCTTCCTTGACCCGTCTCTCTCACTTCAAACTACACCTCATCCCTCTCTGGTGTGGATTCTACTAAAAACCAATCAATATTAGTAATCCCGTGAAATAATTAAAATTGAATTGCAACACTGCTTACAAATCCCTTCGGCCTTATTGCGTACATACTTCTGTCTATTAATTTACATAAACAACTTGATTTTTTTTGTATACCAGACAAATTAATAATAGAAATTGCATGAATGGATTGTTTGAGTCTATTCCGCGATCGCAGACATGCGTTTGCATGATATTATGTAATGGGAAGAGTGAAGGGAATATCGAAGAAGTTCTCATTTCAAAATGTATTCATTTGCTCAAATTTCAGTTGGGTGTGTGGATGCTCAGCCAATGGACGACATTATGGAGTTATGGCATGCTTCGGATGCAAAGGGTTTTTTCGACGATCCGTACAAGGAGGCAAGAAATATACCTGTCGTCATGATAGGAATTGTGTAATAGATCAAAGTAATTGTGTTTTCTGCCATATTTCTATAATCTCACTACTGTTCAAGATGACCGTAATTGCTGTAGAGCTTGTCGCTTTGAGAAATGTATGGGAGTTGGAATGGATCCCGCAGGTAAGACTACTATTTTCTATATATGAATAATACAATGGATTCGTTACAGCTATTCAACCTGACCGTGATAAAACCGGAAGACAGCGAAATCCTAGAAAATCACAATACTCGGCTAACCGTCCCTTCTCTCTGTTAACAGAAAGAACACAAGAAGGAAGGGTGCGCTTACTTCCTTCTATCGTGATAGTAACTTACCATTTTTTAGGAAGCAACTCCGATGCACTTCTCTAACATTGAGAATTCGTTCCAACAAGTAGACCAAGATATTATGAGTACTTTATTAGAAATAGAAACAATTTGTAGAGAAATGAAGGTAAAATTCTTTCTTGAAGAAATCAGCAAACAATGCAACTTTCAGGCGGAAATAAGCACTCCGTACCAGAATATGGAAACTGCAATATGCAAACCGTCTACAGTGTTTTCCCGAACAAGCGTAAGTTATTTTCTCTCGTCTACACTTCGAAATTCAAACATGTGCAACCGCTCTCGCAACGTATAAAATTCAAAATGAAAATCGGGACATGATTTCACGTAGAATTCTTTCAGGTGAACTTCGATGGATTGATGGGAGAAGCTACTACGACAAAAATAAAAGATGAAATTTTAAGACTTTGTGTTTTAACGTTGGATTACGTGACAACCCTCCGTCCTTTAGCTGATGTAAATGTATCGGATAAGGTATTTTGAATCTTTTTTGAAGTGTTCCATTCTCCACATTCTCTAGATGGCAATTGTCAGGCAGTATCTCTCCCCTTTCATGATTCTCGAAGTTGGTTTTCAATCTGCACAACATACTAACTCGCACAACATCTACCTTCCTACCGGATATGTCATATCAGCGGAGCAATCTTTCTTCCCTGATAGTCTAAAGGATGATGACAAGTCTCGTGTCATGACCGAGGACAAAATAATGTAATTTTTTTCTATGAAAAAATATTTTTGAGACTATCAATTTTCAGTTCTTTGCGTCGAAATTTCACAGACCAGCTTGTTCAACAACTCCGTCGTCTGAAAATCACTTCCAACGAGTTGGCAGCCGTGAAAGCAATAATGGTGTTAGACCCTCATGCTCCTGGTTTGAGTCAAAGTAGTATCGAGCTGTTGAAAAGTGAGCGTCGAACTATAAACATTGTTTATAACATTACTGTTAAGGTGGCCGAGAATGTGTTCAGAGGGCTTTATTCGCCCATGTACAATGCTCGTTACCGGCTGAAGGAGCAACTGCTCGCTTTGCTCATCTTATCATGCTTATAACGACTGTAACTGTAAGTCTTTTATAAGAAGCAGGCAAAATTCTCATTTCCTTCTTCAGAGGCTCTCTTCACAGCTCGTGTCGTTCATCCAGTACTTAAGAGAATCAGAAATCTTTAAGGACCCAGTTTTTGATGATTTTTTCCTTCATGGTTGGTGAGGGTACACTAGAGATATGAACTGCTAAAAGTGGGAAAAGCATTTCTCATGTATTTATAGTTATGTGAATGTTATGTTTTTATTGCTTGTGTTAGGAAAGTTGTGTTTATTTGAAGTCATATAAGTCTCCTCATATTTATCGGACCCTCCATCTCATTACGGGAGTTCTCGTGTTTGATGTTGTAATTACTTGTATTTTTTCAAAACTCAAAATCTCTGGTAATCACCTTTGCCTCTTGAACACTTGTGATCGTGCGGATATTCTAATTAATTCTCTCAGTCAGCCTTTTTTGAAGCAAGAAAATTTTTTTCAAGAAATGATGTTTCCAAAGGCCTTTCTTACCTTACTACTATCTATTGTAGGCCACAACCTCAAAAAGAAAGAAGCTCATCCAGAGATCTCAGAAATCCATTTCTAGGCTCCTCTACTAACTCCCTGCTTATGTTTGAATCATTTTCCTCTTTAGGTATAAATTCGGTTTGCATTTGCATATCAATATGCCTAACTCAGAACAAAGGCCATCCAGCCTATCTTCATCAGATCTTTCATTAATTATTTTTAAAGTTTATCAACATATCTTAAGCTATAATAAAAAAGTTATCTTACATGTTTTCTATAAAACTTTCCAATAACGGAACAGCTCGTTTTCTTAGTTTGCTGCTCAAATTCTTCAGATATCTGCTTGACCTACTTGTGTGTCATAGACCATATTAGTATCATACACTTACTTTTTTCTGAATTTTTTCAGACGATGAGGTCGTTCACAGACGGTTTCCAGAAAAATTAGATGACGAGAATACTTCTTTTCAAAATTACTTGTCATCTTCAAAGTGATCTACTTGATCATTGTAGGTGAAAAGCACGTACCTGTTTGCATCTCATGATTGTCATCAATTTATCGCATAGCTCTGTCCGAATATCTCGAGTTGATGCACAGGAGAACGAAATCAAAGAAACCGCTTCCTTAATCTTCAATTCTCTCTCAGTGGGAAAATTTTTCCACTAACCAAAAAAGACGCCAATCGGAATATTTTCAAACACTGCTCTCTGTCAATTAAGGAAAGACATTTCAACTCAGAAAAAAGTCTGCAAGAAGAAAGCCGTATGATCGAGTTGTAATGATATAACTGACTTAAAACTACTTCGTATGTATTGTATATCGTCTGAATCCCAATCATTCATCTTGAGAACCTTCAGAAGAACAAATGGAATCAGCGCTTCAATTGGCCAACATGTCTTTGGTACTGAAGAAAGATTTTTCAAAACTTCCTGGATCCTTCCGTGCTTCAGATGTTCCAACGTATCGCTTTCCATATGGTTCACTCTCTGCTTGACCAATCAGAAAAGAATTCAAATGTCTTAAACAACAAGTACGTACTAAAGACATAGTTTAAAGTGTCATGGGTTGATTTTCCCGCCAACCGATGTGCCATTACAATACGCTTTGTCTTAATTTGAACAACGCGGTAGAAGAGGTATCGTACTTTTTCTTACAACTTCTAGTATTTCGTGAATAAAAATCAGAAATTATTAGAAAGTTTTGAATTGTTTTCGCGATAATGCTCTTGAACAACTCCAATTTCATTCTGTCTTTCATACAGTGCTCGTTGGTGATTAAATTATTAATTGCAGGTATACTTTTGGAAGAAAATAGTATTTTGAACCAAAGTTCCTGGAAATTTTAGGCGTAGACAGAGCAAAAGGCTACCATTGTAGTTACAATTTCAAGATCTGACAATAAATTAGGAAATCTACGAATACGGAAACTATTCGTAATATTGGAACGACTATATCAGATAGTAACCACTGGTTGTAGCTCAAAAAGTCAGGGAGAGTAGGAACAGATCGTGTATAATGCTCGTTCTCTAATTTATCAATGATGAAATTCTGACATACAAATGGAATTAACTTCATACTTCTCACCCGTTGAGACAAACCCTTTCCTATATTTACACATTCCTATATTTCAATGATGCGCGAAGCCATAGGTTAGGGTAGATTACGTTTGGGGCGCATCTCTTTCAATATGGAAATATCTTTCAACTTGCCGC